ACCGTCAGCAGCTGTTAATCCAGCATCAGTCTGACTTTAACCCAGATTACACCAAAGATCCAGCTGCTCACCATCTTCAGGGCTTCCTCCAGGCATTTGGTGACATTCTCCACCACTCCGATGGGGCAGCAGAGGCGGAGGTCGTTGAAGGCCGTCAGGATGTTGTTGAGAAAGCAGGCAAGCGGCTGGAAGTCCAGCAGGGACATTGGGGGCTGCAGGGTGCCGGGCTGCGGGGCGGGGGCTACGACGGGGATGGTCCCTGCCAGCACTGAGGGCAGGGCGATGAGGGTGTACAGGTTCATGTCCTCCTGGAACTTTTCCACCGCCTCCTTCACGGCTCCGTGGAACGTGTCCACCGCCACCCGCTGGAACATGGGCGCCAGCTGCCCGCGGAAGTCCGCCCCCACCCTGCTGAAGGACAAACCGAAGTACATGCACTGACCCAGCAGGGAGTCCAGGCGGCTGCCCACACCCCGCTGCAGGTCCCTCTCTAAGGTCTCCAGGAACTCCGCCACCTTGTGCACCACCCAGCCGTGGAAGATGGCGCCCTCGTTCACAGCCATGAGCCCACCGGCGGGGGGCACTAGCGGGTCCTCGTCAGAGAAGATGGCTCTGTACTGGGTGATGATGTCAAACAGGTGCACCCTGCAGGCCTCGATGGTCTTGGTGATGTGAAAGTAAGCATCGTTTTCAGGGATGGCGGCGAGGATGGAGTGCAGCCAAGTGCTGCGAGCCTGCAGGAACTTCACCCGCAGCTCCGCCTCCGTGAACACGTCCATACGCCGCAGGTAACCGATGACGCGGAGGCACACGGGAAGCTGGGAGTTGCTGCGGAGCTGCTGCAACAGCTGGTTGAGCATCAGCTGAGCCGACTGACGCACTTCACGCACGATACCCTAAAGATGGAGAAGGTCAAAGGTTAGAGGAGCCAAAACATTAGATGTTCTCCACAGTGACCTTTTCTGTTTTATATCTCAGCAAAGAGAAAGTTTCTCAACTGTTTTTCTCCAGTTTTTGTCAATTTAGAGTTTAAACCAGCGATTTCCAGCCTGTACCTGAACCTGAGCCCCATCAACAACCTCCCGCAGTCACATTTTAGCCTTTTCACCTTCTCTGAAAGCCTGATTTATTCCAGCTGGCCAACACCTGGAAGCCTGCTGAGGGGCAACACGCAGAGCTTGTTAGCTGTGCACGTAACAAAAGAAAACTGAGTATTCAGAGCGGTCTGGAGCCTGAGCTCTTTAGTTCTCTTCACACGTGTAATTGTTTATTTGAACATTTTTTCTCCAACATCACACGACAGAAAAGTAACGTTTATTTAGCCCTAACAGTTCATTTTCCTAAATAACATTTAGAGTTTCATTCAGGCAGTAAAAAAACCCCAAACACACCCGCTTTTTGGTCAGCCTGGTCTGGACTAACCTGGATGACGGGCAGCGACGAGTGTTTCTTCTCCAGCCTCTTCACGTATGCCGCCAGCTCCAGAGCCTCTTCGTAGTAGCCGTTGCGGACGCAGGTGTCCATGAGCTGAGGAATCTCCAAAATCTCCAGGATCTCCGTGTGGCGGTTCAGAGTGAGGCTGTTCATCCGGCGGCTTGCTCCGATCTCCTCCGCCTCTTTCATGAAGTGCCTGAAAACAAAATGAGCCCCCAAAGCTCAGAGAGACAGCACAACAGCAAACACACAACTATGTGTAACACGTAACACTTTATAGCTCTAAGAACCTTTTATTATCTTTCATTAATGTTCCCAGTCTTTAGTTTTGTTCTGGTTGTAAAGTCTGGCTGCCTGTTTTTTATTCTGACAGGAGGCTGACGAGCCAGCTCAAAGGAAATTAATCTGCTGCTGTTTTATTCCCAGTCAGTTCACCTTCTGTGGCATATTCCTAAGAAAATAACTAAGTTATTCACTTTGATTCTTTTTCTGTATTTAAATATTTTGAATTTAAAGGCAGGTTGTGATCCTACAGTGAGCTACAATAATAATAATCTGCATCTCTCTCCTTGATCAGTTCATCCTGCGTGCTTTTTAAAAAAGTTTTTATTAACCTAACAGTAAATGATGACACTTTTATAGACCCCAGTTTCCTCCACAGGGAGCCACCGACCTGCAATTCTCTCCGAAGCGGGGCAGCTTGTCCAGCAGCCGGGACACGCTGCTCTCCACCCGGCCGAAGTCCCGGTAGATGTGCTCGGTGCAGTCGGCGGTGCGGATGAAGGTCTGGTAGTTGGAGAAGGCCAGCTCCCGGGTCTGCTGCAGGATCTGAGCCCGCTCCTCCGCCAGCCTCTCCGGCTCCCGGCCCAGCTTCTCCACCCCGAAGGAGCTGAGCTCCGACAGGTAGGCCGCGAAGTCCGGGTTGTCCCTCCAGCTGTCCGGGAAGCTGTCCTTAAAGATGGACGCCAGGATGCTCTCATCCTCCACGTCCACCGCCGCCATGTTTACCGCTGCAGGTTCACGGAGTCCCGGTTCACAAACTGACAGATTTCCTGGTTGTAAACAACCGGAACATCCAGCGCTGACGAACACGTCCCGGTTCTTCTTCTTCTTCTTCTGACACGTGTCAAAAAAGCTTAAAGGTGAAATACTGCCACCTGCCGGTGTTGTGCCAAAAATCATTTCCGAAGTTTCTTTGTTTTTGTTTTGTTTTGACTGTATACTATAATAATAGGTATATATGAAATACATAGAATATATTTGTGACTCTGATTTATTGAGTTATTATATCTATTTTGTCCTTTTTGGTCACTTAAATCATGTTTCTATAACTGTGACGTTACATTTGTTGGCCACGTCTCTCTGGAAAAAGACATTTCTGTTGCTAAAAACTGATAACTCAGCTATTATCAAGGCAGCTTCTGCCTTGAGATAGGATTTCTTTTTCTTTTTTGTGGAAAGTGAATGAATCATTCATGAGAGAGATGTCGAACACTTTTTTCACAGATTACAGGCCAACAATTAATTTATGACTGTTTAAATGTTTTTGCAAATATCACCAACACCAATATGAATAATTACTAGGATACTGATTTACCTGTATAATAATATGATAATAATATTCTAAGTACATTACAGTACAGTAAATATATATGATACTATAATAGAAAAATTACACACACTCGTTAACTTCTCAGTGAACCTCTGCACCAAAGCCTAGTGAGGCTAAAAATAGCCTAAATTAATTTAAACGAATTACGTTATTACAACTAATGCATAGACTGGCCATGGACATACCGGGCATTTGGTGATTTTTCGTTTTTATGGGCTGATGGTTTTTTGTTTGTTTGTAACAGTATAAACAATGAAAGGTGGTGGATTGGCCAGATGCTGGCAGATGTGTAAGAAGTTGTTTGGTGGTGGCTATGGGGAGCTTCCACACGAGGCCAGCAGGTGGATGAGGGGAAAGGGAGGCAGGAGAGAGGAACCCCGAGGCGGCCGCCGGTCTGAGTATCAGGTGAACTGAACTTCAGGTAAGAAGTTATGACCTGCAGTCTATCTGGGTCAGATATAAACCAAGTTTAGGTGAGTTTATTTTCTGTTGTGCTGACTTTTTTACTAGCAGTTACATAGACTGCACTGACAGAGTTCTATACAGCTGGGTGGGTGCTATGATGTTACTGATAAGTGAACTTTATCTTTATTCATAAGGTTAGTTAGTAGAGTTGCCAACCGTCCTGTAAAAACAGAATCGTCCTGCATTCAGAGAAAATATTACGCGTGTATTGAGCTGAGAAGAGACGGAGTTTGTCCCGGACTTCAGCTATAATGAAAAAGACACAAAGCTGGATTTATTCTGCGTCTTTACGCTGTCAGCTGCCTCTTCTTCGCTCACTTCAATCATGAAACTGATCAATGATCAGCTGATCGGCTTTTCTCTCTTGTTTGTTTATCGCCCACTTTGCGCCAGAAAGAGGAAACCAGCAGATGTCGCGCTAAACAACAGCAGCACGTTTAAGCTTGATCAGCTGTTGTTAGAATTTATTTAATATTAATTTCTAGTATCAGCTGATGTTTGCTGGAGCCACAGCTGTAAAGCCTGCTGGTCATGATGTCGGTTTGGTTATCTGGTGAGAGGGAAACATGAAGATGAAACCAGGAGATGTCCTTACTGATCATCAGAGCTGTGATGGAGAAACAGGTTTACCTTTTAGGTGACATGAATGAGTTGAAGGGAAGTTATGAACTGTTTCTGAGAGACAAATAACACCAGGATCCTTTTCTAAGTAGCTGACAGCTGGTAACTGTGCAGGGGCGGGTCTAGCAAAGTGTTGCCAGGGGGCAGGTAGGGCATTAACAGGGAGAGGGGGCACACCCCCCCCCCCCCCCAAGAAATACTTTTCTTTCTTATTCTCATTTAAAATGTCTAGCTTTTAATAAATAATTATCTGAATCTTACAACCAAAGTTTTTATCTGATGTAAAATGATAGAAATCATACATATACCAACAAGACTGTACATCACTGTCACAACAGCGTTTGTTTTCATTCAAAGGCTTTATGGCTTTTCCTGTAATACCTGGTGGGCCGGTCTCTAGTCAAAATGCCCGGGCCGATTTTTTGTCCCAGTCCAGCCCTGACTAATGAATTAATTTCCTAATTAATTTTGTTTTATTTTAGTTTTGTAAATACACAATGTCATTTTAGATAGCTTTCATTTTCTTACAAAGCTGCTTTTCTTTCAGTGCAGCTTAAAACATTAGAGGCAAATTTAGAGAGGGCGGGTAACCAGGTTTATGAGAAACTACAAACCAAATTTAGAAAAGGGACAGATATGTGAGGGGGAAAATACTTAATCACAAGAAAATAAAAGATGCATTTAGGGGGAAATTATAAGGAAAATAATCTAAATTTACCAGAAAAGATTTGAGAAAAAGGGAAAAGTTTGGCAAACGTAACAAAAATAAAAACAAAGAGAAACCTGGCAAATCTGGAGAAATGGAAATTTAAGATAAATACCGCTAAGTTAACGGCGCTACTGAAAAGTTCAACCTAGTGATTGTTTCCTGCAGTCATGACTTCGAAGCGTATTTGTTAATAAAGTTGTTTGGGGAAAAAGGCTAATGACGTCAGCGGAAGTGAGGTGTGTGATTCAGTTGCTAAGCTGCAGCCGAGCAGTAAACGGACCGTCGACAAGTTGCTGTCGCCGTCTCACCGGATCAACTTTAAGCCGTCCGTCGGTGACCGACAGACCGAGGTAAGCTGCCCAACGCCAGACTGAGTCTGCTCGGTCCAAGTTCCGCCGGGGAGCCGCTGCTCCTGATGCCGATGCCCGGCCTCAGTGTTCGGCTAACGTTAGCCCGGAGCTCGGTACGGCGGGTGGTTAGGTCAGCACCTGCCACAGAGTTAACGGGTTAAAGTGGGGAGCAGACGGACCTCCTCTGGTGTTTTAGTCTGAACATGAGCTCGTCTGTGGTTTAATGAGCTTAATGAAGAACCTTAATGAGATTACCTGAAGTTAGCTGAAGCTCCAGGAGAGCAGAGCAAACACTCCTGACCACAACAGCACTGCTCAGTTAGTTTACCAGTGTTTTCATACACGTTATGATCTGAGAAAAATGCGCCAGTTTCCATAAAGCGGAACAGAAATGTTCGCTTCAGTCTGCAGACAGTAACACATGAAGGTTCTTGCAGATTTTAAATATTATTTTTGTGTTAGAAAAATAGACATTATCTAACAGTTTGGATGTAGATGAAGGTGCTGATGAGGATGAGAAATATCTTATTTATCCCATATTTGGGAGACTTTTGTTATAGCAGGAAATGAATATCAGACACCAACCGACATCACCTGATAACACCAAACAAGATTTATTCTGTTTGTTCATTTGTGAAATCTTGTGTTTGCAGGTGAAGAATTATGTCATTTAAGTGCACTCATTTAAGAAAAAAATTCAAGGAGTTTGAATTGTGCGGTTGCTTTGAGGTTGTTGATGATGTATCTGCACCGTGTCTTTATGGATCTAGAGAAAGCAGATGATAGAGTGCCACGAGATGCACTGTGGTACTGCATGAGGAAGTCGGGAGTAGCAGAGAAGGATGTGAGGGTGGTGCAGGACATGTATGAGGACGGAGAGAGACAGTGGTGAGGTGTGTGGTAGGAATGACAAATGGGTTCAAGATGGGGGTGGGATTACATCAGGGATCTCCTCTGAGCCCCTTCTTGTTTGCTGTGGTGATGGGGACAGGCTGATAGACGAGGCCAGGCAGGAGTCTCTGTGGATCGTGATGTTTGCAGATGACACCGTGAGCTGCAGTGGGAGCAGGTATGCTCTGAACACAAGAGGAATGAAAGTCAGTAGGAGGAAAATAGCTGAACCGAAGAGGATAACGTGCCACTCGTCTCACTCTCATTCACACAATGAGAGAGACGAGTGGAAAGGTTAACATGCAAGCACCGGAGGTAGTGCCGAATGAATAATTGTTTCTGAGACGTGAGATGTGGGAATTTATGGATTTAAAATTTATCGCTCAAGCAGTCTCAGAAAGGCAGAAGTGTGGCAGTTTTTTATGAAGCTAGGTCTTTAACTGTTGTTGACTTCGACCCTGGCACGTTCTCCTCTTTGGCTCAGCTATTATAATGAAATCATTCTGGTGGGTAATTGGGATCGGTTTTCTCCTGTGTCTGATTATTTTAAGGCACACTGTTTTTAATCTAACACAAATGATTAAAGCCCCACACACCTTATTCCCCAGATAAATCATCTTTGATTAATGTGCCACATCATTTCTCCGCAGCAGTTTTTACCAGCGACTTGACTGATCGCTGAGTGGTTGTTGCTGCGAGGAACAGTTTCATGCTCTGAGCATCATCACAAACAGGAATTTAAAGCTGTTACATGAGCAAGCCTTTTGTCACGACTTCATGAATTTACATTGGGTCAGTTTTACATTGATGGACGGTGTTAACTTAGCTTGTAAATATTACTCTGAGAGTTTTATCTACCTTGTGGACAAACATGCTGCTTTTTGCCAGGTCAGAGTGAAAGGGCGGGACAGGAAGCAGCCCTGAGCAGCTTCGAGAAAGTCCGACACTGATGCCAATGGCTAAGGTTTGGCAGCTGCGTATTAGCTTCGCTGCTTCTATTAGGAAATCCAAATGTGATCACTTTCTGATCTTAACCACTGACAGTCTCAAAGTCCCTGGGATGCTTTGGCAGACTATAGATTCTCTCTCTGACAGCTTTGAAGAGCATTAACAGTAAAAAGTCACCGGTCCAGACAATCTGTCTCCGTTCTTCTTGTGTCTGCTTGCAAACATCATAGATGAGACAGCGTCTTGTATTTTTAATCTTTCCATACAACTGAACACTTCAGCAGAGATCCCAGTGTGCCTTTGTACTGCCCTCCTGAAAGGTGATGATTCTTGGATGTTAATAATATGAACCAATCTGCAAACTCTGTATTTTAGCTGAGATTCTTTAATGGCTGAGGAATAATCAACCTTAGAGCTATCAGAATGAAAGTGATATTTTATCTCTCCAGTACTGTAACTTAAAGGTTTAAAGTTCTCAATGATATCTACGAGGCCCTGGAAGCAAAGAAATACTGCACCCCTCTTTTTATTGATTGAAAGCCTCCGGCACTGTTGATCGTGGGGTTTTATGTCAGAGGTTATTGGAAAAGGGCCGTTCAGACCAAGCTAAGCACTAGGGGTGCAACGATACTCGTATCGATATTGAACCGTTCGATACAGTGCTTTCGGTTCGGTATGCATATGTATGAACAATACAAAATTTGTAATTTATTTTATCAACTTTTCTTCTGACGATGCTGTCTGTGTTGAGCGCTCAGTGGATCTGCGTCGACTACTCCGCCTAGGCTGCACTGTCAAGCGCAGATCCGCTGAGCGCAGCGCAAGCTAGTTAGCTCGTTAACGTGTTGACGCCGTCCAGCCCCATGCACGGGGCGATCCGCGGTAGCTCGTTAACGGAGATTTGCCGTGTTGTGGCGTTAACGTCATTTCAGATTAACGCTGACAGCACTAGTGGGAACACAACGAATATGACTGCACATTTACTCCGACATCATCCTAGTGCAAAGACAAAAACAACAAGCAGCATGCTACAAACTTTACCCGAGTCATTTAGACAGCCGTTAGCACAGGATTCTCCTTATGGGGACCTGATATGTTTAATATGCTGCTGAGAATATAGCCCAGAAGAAGCGTATAGTATAGCTTTTATTTTGGAAAGAGCCATTTCTCTGTAATAAACTCTCTTTTCCAAAGATGAGTGATTCCTCAATCAGATAGATTTATTTTTTATTACTTTGTTGTTTCAGCAACATTAAATTTAAAAACTGTACTTTTGAGTTAAAATATATATTTATAATTTTAATAAATGACAAATTAAAAAGGCATGAACATTTTTTTGTATCGAAAAAATATCGAACCGTGACACCAAAGTATCGAACCGAACCGTGAATTTTGTGTATCGTTGCACCCCTACTAAGCACCTTTCTCACCATAAGCAGTGTGTGCAGTTTAATGGTCTCTCTTCCAGTTTTTTAAATGTGACTGATGGAGTGCCACAGGCTTCTGTCTTGGGACCTGCGTTATTTACTATTTATGTCAGTGCTGTGGGACAAAATCTAAGTGCAACTGCCTATTTTTACGCAGATGATTAATTATGGTAATAATCTGGTACCCTGGTATCGACATGGTTTTCGAACATTTGCAGTTAGCTGTACACAGTCACAGCTGTTTCTGCTAAGGCTGTCTTTGAAATGCGTCTATAAAAAAAAACATGGTTGTGTTCTTCTCAGAGGGTTCGGTTAACCCTAATCCTAACTTCCCTCTCTTGTATCTTCTCAAGGTATTAACATTGAAGCTGTGGACTCAAACATCGAGTTCCTGTTGAAGCTAGGCTGAAGCTGGAGTTTTGTTTTTCTTAGAAATGGATCGTTGGACTTTGTTTATCACGGCATTAAGATTTATCACCGGCTGTAAACCTTTAGCACACCACTACTTTATATTCACTGGTTGATTAGTCCTCATTAGCCTCGTGCAGGATGGTTCATTGATAGCATTTTGTCTCTAAATTCATTTCTGGTTTGCTCGTCTCCTATTTGTCAGATTACCTGTAATCTGACAAATAGTTTAGTCACAATCTGCGGTCTCAGGACTTCTTTGCACTCGCTGTTCAGACCTCAGAGAGAAGGTATTCTCCTTTTCTGTCCCGTCCTCATGGATTACATGACAGAAGGATTTCAGGCTCTCAGCTGATTTTGCTCGTAGACTTTAAAAGACGCATAAATGGTTTTGTGAAATCATCACTGGGAATCTTGTTTTTAGTTTGACTGTGTAGACTCTTGGTAAAATATTCAATATTTTATTGGTGTTATTTTATTATGCCTGTTTGAAACAGCTAAATGAGGCATTGAGTCTCAGGACTGTTTGTATAAATAAAGGTAAAATGAACAAGCACTTGGTGACAGTGGTGAGGAAAAACTTATTGTCACAGGAAGTAACCTCGAGAAGAACCACGCTCGGGGAGGGGCCGGTATGGGAGTGAGGGGAGGAAAAGAAAACACTCAGTGCATCATGGGAATCCACCAGCAGCCTGAGACTATAGCAGGAGAAATCTGCTCTCTCTTTCTAGTCCCTGTCAGGACTCCTGCTGCAGCATTTTGGATCAGCTGAAGGCTTTTCAGGGAGTTTTTAGGACTTCCTGATAATAATGAATCGCAGTCGTCCAGCCTGGAAGTAATAAATGCATGAACTAGTTTTTCAGCGTCACTCTGAGACAGGATATTTCTAACTTTTGAGATGTTGCACAAATGGAAGAAAGCAGTCTTACATATTTGTTTAATATGTGCATTGAAGGACATGTCCTGGTCAAAAATGACTCCAAGGTTCCTCACAGTGTTACTGGAGGCCAAGGTAATGCCATCCAGAGTAAGAATCTGCTTAGATACCATATTTGTAGGAAATTAGTGGTCGTCAAGGTTTTTATATCTTTAAGACATTCCTGCAGTTTAACTAACTTATATCATCTGGCTTCTGGCTTGTATACAGTGTTTTCCAATAATAGATGAGTTTAAATACTTGGGATCAACCATCCAAAATAAGGGACAGTGAACAAGAGACATGAAGAAGTGTGCAGGCTTGGTGGAGTTTCAGGGGTGATTTGTGACAGAAGGACGGCAGCCAGCATGAAAGGGAGGGTTTACAGGGTGGTAGTGACACCTGTGTGGTTTGGAGGCCGAGCTGAAGACGATGGTATCTTCACTGGGAGTAGAAATGAGAGCTCAGCATCAGAGAGGCGAGACTGAGACGGTTTTATATATCTTATCTCTTCTATCACTTATTTATCACTGTGTTGTGTTCCTGCAGGTGTTTGATGCTCAGTGCAAACACTAAATGAGGAGCTGATGTCCATCTCATGAATTAACCTCAGCCGGGGTCCAGTCATCAAACACAGCAGCCAGTCTCCCAGTATGACCAGTATGGCTGCCTCCAGCACTACCAAGATCGCATGGCGCCTTCGTGAGTATTAAAGTTACTCAAACGATCATCACACCCTTCCTGTCCAGCAGCCCAGCCCGACCTGAATTTGTTCCTCCTTTGTTGCCGTACAGAGGAGTTCGAGGCTCACTCCAGCTCCATTTCCTGTCTGGCTCTGGGGAAAAGCTCGGGCCGCCTGCTGGCCACAGGAGGAGAGGACTGCAGGGTCAACATCTGGGCCGTCAGCAAGGCCAACTGCATCATGGTGAGTCCCCCGCAATGCAAAATGCGACGGGTTTCTAATTTTTAAGGTTTCTGTCGAGGTTTTTTTAGGCCTGAAACATGAACAGATTTAAAGGAACCCATCCTTTACCTACTGCTCTTCTGCAGTCTGCAGGTCATGACGCCCACACCTGCCTCTCTCCTGTCACCACCTCACGCTTTTATCTTTATTATTGATTCATTTCTGATTGTTAAATGATGAAAACAGAGTTCGCTCCATGGGAATTAAACAGACTCATGTTTCCCCTCCACTGCTCGCCATCTTCCTCCAACTAAACTAACCTGCCTGACCTCTTACGTTGTGTGTAGTGCACCACATCATGGCAGAGCGCAGACTGTATATAAAGGATGGATGTAGATTTGAATTCTGAAAAGTGAAGCTTAAACCTGCGTTTTTCATGGATGTCCAGCAGGGGGCGGCGACTCTGACTGTGAGAAAACGAGCCGCCTCCTCACCTGATCTCGGAGCTCAGTAAACAGTTTCCTGACGGCTTTGTGGTCTCAGTCGCTGTTTTCAGGTCTTATTGAATAAAAGATGAAGCTCATTTTGGAAATGATGGTTTCCATTAGTGTTCAGGGGGACGATAAAGCAGGAGAGGAAGGTGGGCTTATTTTGTGATTGACAGGTGACGTGGTGTCCCTCAGCAGCCTCACTAACATTTAATATACAGTCTGTGTTTTGAGAAAGGAGCGAGGTGCAGTTTTAGGTGATGATGTCTGTTCTGACTGTTTCCTCTCAGAGTCTGACTGGTCACAAGAACCCAGTGGAGTCTATCCACTTCAACGTGTCGGAGGAGCAGGTCGTCGCCGGGTCGCAGTCAGGTTCAATACGAGTCTGGGACCTGGAGGCTGCCAAGAGTAAGACTCTGTCTGTTCTGTGGCTACGAGGCTTTTTAGTCAAAGCTTCACCGCCTCTAAACTGTCTGTGTGCGTAATTTATCTGCACAGGTGCTTTAGATCAGCGGTGGACAGCGTGTAAGGTTCACACTGACAAAGAGAAGTGAAGTGAGCGAACCAGTCGATTAGAAATATGACACACAAAGAGCTGAAATGTGTTAAAATCAACGACTTTGCTTTTTTTAAAATTAGTGTGGTGAGTTTTTTCTAAATTTCTGAGTGCAAAGTTTGAGCTATGAGCTCTTCCACCTCTGCTGCCTCAAGGACACAGACAGGACATCCATCATACCACATGATGTAATATAGTACATCGGTCTGATTGAGTATATGTTATTATTATTAGTGTTTTTCCATCTACTCTTATTTTGAAAATTGATACAGCTTCCTCAGTGTTCAGTCTCAGGCTGTAACGGAGGACGTTGTACCCCGCAGTCAGAATAATCGTCCGTCCCATCATGCGGAGGCGTTTTAATGCACCTAAGCTGGGTCTTAGTTAGAAAGAGATGCAAAGAGGTGACCCTGCTGCTTCCTGTGCTCAGTTTTAAGGACTCTGATGGGACACAAAGCCAACATCACCAGCCTGGGCTTCCATCCCTTTGGAGACTTCCTGGCCTCCAGCTCCATGGACACAAACATTAAGGTAGGCGTGTTTCCTGTGTGAGAACATCTTTGAAGTCTTAATCCGCTCTAATGAAATGTCTCTTCTTTTCTGTCGCTGCTGTCAGCTGTGGGACGTGCGGAGGAAAGGATACGTGTTCAGATATAAGGTAAGTTTGTGCTCAGGATGACAGGCCGGCTCCTAATATCCTGCTCGAATCCAGGTGCACGTTTCTAACAGGTGGACAGTGGCTGCAGGTGGATTTGGTAAACACACCTGTGGTGACCTAACAAAGTGTGATGTGGACATTTGCTTCAGTGGATTCTGATCTTTTATGCAAATGAGTTGACCTCATCTGACCTGGAAACAGCACCGTGTGAAAAGCTAAATCCTGATTGTTTTCAGGTTTCTGACAGATTTTTGATGTTTTTCAGACGTTTAAGCCCCGCTCTACATTCTGATGCTTGTTTTCCACAGTTGTACCATCACATACAAAACAAACACACACAGACACGTGGTCACTGTGCACCAAAGCCGAGCACGCTCAGAATGATTCGGATTAAACTGTGTCAGTCGGAGCTTTTATGGAGTCTTACAGTAAACGGATTATTGCATTTAAAAGAACTGAGAGACTTCAATTTAATTTTGTTTATGCAGCGCCAAATCACAACATCAGTCACCTCAATGCGCTTTATACTTTAAGATCTACATACAGAGAAAAACCAACAATCATATGACCTCCTATGAGCACTTTGGCGACGGTGGGAAGGAAAAACTCCAGAACCAGGCTCAGGGCTTCTACTTTCCTTCAAAATAAAAGCTTCACATGAGTCTCGATAGCAAAAATCTGACCAGTGCTGGTGTTGGTGTTGCAGGGTCACACTCAGGCTGTGAGGAGTTTGGCCTTCAGTCCTGATGGGAAGTGGTTAGCTTCAGCGAGCGACGACTGCACCGTCAAGGTACGACCTGATCTGACGTCTCACCTTTAATGTAAAAAATATATTTTAAGGATTGTTTTTCCCGGTACTTACATGTTGTGGTAACTCTGACTCTGTAACAGTAGATGCTGAGAAACCTTCAGAGTAACCTGCAGGAGTTACACGGTGCTGTGAATGTAAACTGTGAAGCAGAACATCAGCAGCAGGATGTTGTTATGTAAACTGTGCAGAAAGGCTGGAAGACGTTAAGATGTTCCAGCTGGTCCTGGTTCATGTTTGGTGCTCACGTGTGTCACTCTCTGTCCTGACTCATCACCACAAACACCGAGGCGCTGCTCAGAGATCAGACTTTCATTAGTTAAATATCTAATAATGAGACGGGCGGAAAAAAGAAGAAAAAAAATCTTCCCGTAAAATAAAACGAGCGATTGAATCGCAACATTTTTAGATTCTTCTACATTTTAAAATGCTTTTAAAAGGTCCGTCTGTTGAATCACTTCAGTGTTTTAGGATTTTTAAAATTCATCTTTTCTATTAAAATAGTTTTCAGGACACTTCTTGACCCAGGTTTAGTTACATTTATTCAAATAAAGTAATAAGCTGGTGATGTGTAACGACTCGTTAGGCTAACATTTCATCGATGTTTAGAATTAAGTTTCATTTCATTTGCAGCGGTCGGATGTTCGGGTGTTTGAGAGCATCTTGGGAATTTAAAAGTGTGAACATGATGTGTTTATTCTGTAAATGCTGTGAAAGCATCAAACCGGCAGCATCCTGTAATAAAATCGCTCATTCTGATTGGCTGAAGGAGGTGAGCTCTGCTCTCTTCTTGTTCGATGACCTCAGCCCTGTCCCCTTGTCTCCATCAGCTGTGGGACCTGGCTCAGGGGAAAACCATCACGGAATTCAAATCTCACACCGCCGCCGTCAACATCGTCCAGTTCCACCCCAACGAGTACCTGCTGGCCTCCGGAAGCTCCGACAGGTACGTCGCCGCAGGCCGAGCGCCCGAGACGCAGCAGCTCGGAGCTGAAGGAGCGACTCATGAGTGGAATCAGTGTTTGTGACACTTTGTGGCTCGTTTAGTTTTTCTGTTTCATGAAGCTCAGAGGCTGCGCGAGGTTGTCCTCTCTCTGTGCCGCCAAGATTTTATTTTGGTGCTGAGTTTGATTGTTTGTGGCATTTTTTTAATGTAACATTTCTTTTAGTCTGAAATTCTTTTACTTTTTTTCACATACATGTCCTGTGTCTTCTACATGTCCTCTGCATGTGCCACTAAATCATACATTTATAACTAAAAGCAAACAGGAAATATAATATAAATATAATAAAATGGAAATAATAACTCATCCTTTCTCCAACACAACCAGCAAGTGCACTCAGTATTTAATCATTTCTTTATTTTTGCATATGAAGTATAAATAAGTATTCCAACATGAATCACTTAAATTGATTATTATGTTTAATTTGAGGACACCGACCTGGTGTTAGACACAGTTTATAAGTTACACCAGCAAGCAAAGCTGTAGTTTGTGGCCTGATTTTCCGATTGTCATGTGATCGTGATGGAGCCGTTGAAGCTTTGAATGTGTCACTTCAAAGAAATGAGACATTTTGTAGGTTTTGGCCTGTTTTAGGGACAGAACAGGGAGCAGGGTCATTTCTATCTCAAACAGTTTATTGATGGAATAAATCTTACTCTCATTTATGAGAATAAGAAGTGACTCAAACACATACTTTCATAAATAAATGAAAAAAGTATCTTTAGCTTAGCTTGTAGTTAGAGCTGGGTTAGGCGACCCTAACCATCCCTCAGGTTCCTGGGGACTTCCCATGATGCACTGAGAGGTGCACTTTGCCCTCCACTCCCTCTTTTGTTCGTGTTTCGTTCCTCTTTTCTCTTTCTCCTCATTTACTGACTTGTCACTGCTGACCGTGGATCTGTTGGAGGTCTCTTCCTGTTCCTCAGCCGTGTTGTAGCGTCTTCACCTGACACTATAAAACACCTACAGGTGTCTCTAATGAGCTGCAGCTGTATGAACTCTGCATGTGTTTGCAGGACCATCAAGCTGTGGGATCTGGAAAAGTTTACGATGATCGGCTCGTTGGAGGGCGACACGACTCCGGTCAGGTGAGTTTTTCCCCGTTGCAGCAGGGTGTAACTGGAATGTGACCTCTGACCTCTGACCCCTGTCCCTGCGGTTCCAGGTGTATATGTTTTAGCCCAGATGGCTCCTGCCTGTACAGCGGCGCCACGGACTCGCTGCGGGTCTTCGGCTGGGAACCGGACCGCTGCTTTGACGCGGTGCCGGTGAGCTGGGGAAAGGTGTCTGACCTCGCCATCTGCAACCAGCAGCTGGTGTGTAGCTCCGCCCACCGCTCAGTAACAGTACCGTGCAGAAGTTTTAGGTAATCTCAATCTTCCTCCTCCTCCACATGTCAGATCGGCGTGTCTCATCAGCTGTCGAGTGTGTCGTCCTACGTGGTCGATCTGAAGAGGGTAAAGAAGAGCGGTGGCGCCGTGATCCAGGGGATCATCCAGGACGACCAGCCGCTCACAGAGCCGAAGAAGGACCCCAAAGGAGCGGCACTGCGAAAGAACTACGAGAGACCCACGACCACCTGCAGATCGCAGAGGTACGGCACACTGAGAGACAGGAGAAAATACTACAAATACTGACTCCTGGATTTAAAGTTTTATACATGAGCCACTGGTTTCATTCATCAAACACTCAGATCACAGGTCAAAGAGAAAGTTCATCCTCTCTGAAGCCGAAACAAGGTTCTTATCACAGCTCGGCTTTTCCTGTAGATACAAATATATCTGTACGTATGTACGAACAGATATATTTGTATCTACATACATACGTACGTACGTATGTATGTAGATACAAATATATATAGAAAACAAATATATATATATATAAAATCTTATTTGACTTCAGTGGAAAAGTTTCACTTCCAGATTCTTTAATAAAAGTAAATAAAGTAAAAAAATTGCAGTTTTTCTTCTAAAAAACAAACAAACAAATGTTTGTGATGTCATCAGGTTGAAGCACCGTTCAGAGTCTGACAGGCGGAGCCCCGAAGGCGAGAGGCGGAGCCCTAGCGAGGACGAGGCGGACGAGAAGCTGTCGTCTGCTGAGATCCACAACGCCGAGGACTACAAGGCCATCTTCCAGCCAAAGAGCGCCATCTGTAGGTGGACCCGGAGCATCGCAGCTCAGATGTTGAATAAAGAATACAGTTATACGTACATACAACAAGATCTGTGAAATATTGCTATTGAAAAGGACGCTGAGTTCATCTTTAATCAACACTGCACCAACAAAATCTGTGTTTAGTTTCCCCAAAAGCTTCTATTTCCTCACCTGTTGGTCCACCTGCAGCATCACCATCAGTTCTGCTCTGGCTGATTTTGAGAAGCAGGCCATATTTGAAAAGTGAGAGGAGTAAACATTACTCGCTGTAAGAGCCAAACAGGATGGGAGGATCTGATTGGTTCTTTGTGCCTTTTTAAAATATTCATCCTAATGAGGACAAAGACACGAAGCACCTCTGGTCATTTCTTTCAATGCCTTTTGTTTTCATGTCGTCACATTTACTTTACAGTCTGAGCTCCTCGTTCTCCTCTCTTCCAGCTCGCACTCCTCCTAAGATGTCGGAGCCTTTTCCCGCTCCTCCAGAGGACGGTGAGTCCAGCACAGCTTCACGTTTCTGTGAGACATCAGGAGACGACGCGCCTCCGACGTTTCAGTTTATAGATGAAACACGAACAATAAATCACGTGTTCGACAGTGAAAAACACACGACACAAAAACACACAACAGAGGTGTTTCAGCTCCTGTTTTGTGGTTACTGGGTCGTTTCCTGATGATTTCTTCTTCTGCTCAGAGTCCATTTTGGCGATCAGCCGGCAGCTGAAGGACATCAAGTCTCCTTTTCCTGATAAACAGCAGGTCAGTGAACGCAGCAGCCGTGTGTCTGTGTGGAAACATGGACGCCTTAGGACAGCGGACTATAAATGCAACGAACCTATCAGAGCTCAAATACCTGCTGTTTACAACAAAGTAGTCCTCCAGCCGCTCGGTTTTCTTTCTTTAGTTAAAGATTTTTCTTTGTCTTCAGAAAATCAGTTTAATTCAAAACCATCTAAAACCTTTAACAGCTGTGTGACTTTGGTCTGAGCGGGGTTATATGAGAGGTTTTATGAGTCTAAATTAACAACTAAAACGATGTGTGAGAAATTATTTTGTAATAATTTCTTGTTTCTGTCATTATTAACAGTTTTTCCAAAAATCAAATGCCCATAAAAACAGCTGAGATCAGAGAGTAAAGGCTGTGACTGCTCGTGTCTGTTGTTTTAAAGGGTCCTCCGCTGGCTGCCTCCACTCCCGTGGTGAGGGTGGAGCCTACGGTCATTTCCGCTGTGAAGCGTCCGTCCCCTCCAGCTGCGGGCACAGTGTCCTCCAGCCACCCCGCTCCCACCCAGCCCCCCGTCACCGCGGCCAAATCCAAACCGCAGCTCAAAATCATCTCGAGCGCCCGGAACGAGCCCATCGGGCTGAACGTGGCCGACTTCCTGCCCGTGAGTGCACGCGTCAGTGTTTTTAGATTCTCGCGACAGCTTTGATGATGAGAATAAAGCTGAACGTGTGTGGTCGGTCAGTCTTCACCCAACCACAGATCTGGAGCCCTGAGTGACGAGGAGGCCCTGACCCAGATGAAGAAGGGTCACGAGACCATGTGCGTGATGCTGAGCAGCCGACTGAAGAACCTGCAGACGGTCCGAGGGGTGTGGACCCGAGACGGCATCAAGGTGAGGCTGACACGCCGGTACCAGCAGCTGGCGCGTGTGTGAGAAGGTCATGACCGTTTGGCGGTCTTCTGCCCGGATACAGCTGGGCAGCTCATTCATGCAGGTCCTTCTTTTATTGTTTTGTTTTCAGTTCGTTTGTGTCAATAAAATTATTTTCAAACTGCTCTTTGTTTGTGTGCAGATCGCTCTTGACACCGCCGTCTCCATGAGTGATCCGTCCATAGTCGTGGACATCCTGAACATCATCAACCCCCAGCCGTGAGTCTCACACACACACACTCGTTTTCATATCTTAGTGAGGACATCTCATTGACATCATGCTTTAGAGAGCTACTTACCCAAACTATGAAAAATGAACGCCTACTCGTAACCCTGAGGATTTGAGCCTCAATAATGCATTCAAGCTCGTGGGGACAGGCACTTTGTCCTCACAGGTGACTGTTGGTCCCCACAAGTATAGTAACATTTCAAGTTTCGGTCCTACAAAGCTGTCTAAACAGGTACACACTCACACACACAAACCCGTTTCTACATCTTTGTGAGAACCCTAAGTCACACCTTGGCTTGGCTGCTCCTCAGGGATGAGAGTTTCACACATCTATCCAGTCAAGTTAAATGACTAATTACTGTAGAGCAGGGGTGTCAAACTCAAATACACAGTGGGCCAAAATTCAAAACTGGAACAAGGTCGCGGGCTAACGTTAATATTTATTGAAAAAAAAAATCTTCCTCCAGATGTAAGAATGAATCTTTTCTTATGGACTCAAACACGTTTTGCTGAAAAACTGAATATGGAACAAGCAAAGCTTAATACTAAACAATATATATATTAGCTGTATAATACCAGTAGGCCAGCTCTAATAGTAATTTGGTATGGCTTCGTGGGCCAAATGTAATTAGGCTGCGGGCCAAATTTGGCCCACGGGCCAGAGTTTGACACCTATGCTGTAGAGCCTAAAGTTGTGCGCCGCTTGTTTAATTAAAGACACAAAGAAATCTGCTTATTCTGCAACAATAGGCCATTTTGTCCCCACAAGTATAGTAGCATGCCAATTTCCTGTCCTGACAAAGATGTCTCTCTCTCACTCACTCACTCACTCACTCACTCACTCACACACACACACACACACACACACACACACACACACTTCTGATTTTATACAAGTACAAACCTTTATTTACACTGGAGTTCAAAAACAAAACCTTTCTTTGTTAGTTTAACCCAAAAAATGTAAAAACAGTGACAGAAGCTGACGATTGATGACAGACGAATCGTTTTACGCAGCTTTATTATTATTTTCAGTCTGTTCTGTTTCCGATCACTGAAAAGTTTTTATTGTTTATTTGATTGCATCTGTCTTCTAAGTTTCATTTTGAAGAGTTTGACCTGCAGTTGTTTGCGGGTTGCTGACCTTTATGAACGTATAAAACCAGATGTTGTGCTGCTGTTCCAGATCTCTGTGGAAGCTGGACGTGTGCATGACAGTCCTTCCTCAGCTCGACAAACTGCTGCAGAGCAAGTACGAGAGGTGAGCGGCTCCGAGGTAAAGTTTCTGTTGTCCAGAGACGGCGTGCGAGCGTTCAGCGGCAGAGGGTTCGTTTTAAAACAACGTCAGCATCTTTGTAGGCGTTTTCATCAAGTGTGACGGATGACTTTGTGGGTTTCACCATTACAATGAGAGAAATGAGTTCTGATGACGCTTCAGACGAACTGCCGGGAGGCAGCTCGGGTTGCATCAGAGATGATTTCATCTTCTCAAAGTGAATTTAAAACTCTAATTCGGATGTTACGTAAAAACAAAGATCACTTCCTGTTTGGTAACCTGAGGTCACCCAGAGTACTTTGATTGTCAGGAGGTGGAGCAGATCTCCGCTTCCTCCCGTCCTGAACCTGAACCGATGCCGTCTGTGTGTCGGTATGTCGTGTAATTCGATCATCCAATCAGCTTCCTTCTCTGTGCGTTTCCTCAGCTACATACAGACCGGCTGCACGTCTCTGAAACTCGTCATGAAGCACTTCTGGACGCTGATCTCGGATACTCTAAAGGCCACGCCGTCCGTCGGGGTCGACATCACACGAGAGGAGCGGTGAGTCTCACATCTGTCCAACAGCTGCTTGACTGATTTAGCAGCACCGTCAATCAATCTGCTGATTACTCAGATTACTCTGAGGAGGAAACGCCCCAAACCTCGGCTGACTCCACCTCTCGTTCTGTGTGGGACGTTTTTAAAGATGTCTGACACGTGTTCGAACCCAGAGACTTGATTCCTGCTGTAATCGCTCCTCAGCCGGCTGCTTTTCCCTTCCAGGTCTCCTCTTTGCACTCTGTGCATCTGCAGGAGCCACAGCTGCATTTTAGTGACTGTAGTAGGTTTGTTTGTCCAGCAGGTGTCACCTGTGTGCTGCTGGCGAGGGCCTGCGTCCTCGCCAGCAGCACACAGGCTGTTGAGGTTAAAGGACGTCAGAGAGAGCAGCGTGTTAGTGCGGTGGGGCAGCACTCATTCTGCGCCTCACTGCATTTGTTGTGAATGAAGGATGCTTCAGTGTCTCCTCCTCCAAAGGAGGCAAAAAAGGAAACATTAAACCACCTTTGGTGTAGTACTCAGACGACAGGAACCTTCATAATAAAATGAATTGAACTGTAACCAGCGACAGTCAGTTTCTCTTATAAAGGTTTGTGCAGAGATGATGTAAATCAGGCGAGACACTGGAGCAAAGATGTCCCATAATTCATAGCAACACATCATCAGTGGCGGTTTGTTCGATCACTGAAGGAAAACAGTTTTAATCGGACAGACTCGCCAACGTCTTTGTCCTCTGCGTTTGAGCCTCTGATGTTTTTGTGCTTCCAGACACCAGAAGTGCCGAGTGTGCTGCAAGCAGCTGAAGAACCTGAGCAACATCGTGAAGAACAAGGCGACGCAGGTCGGTCGTCACGGCAGCACCTTCAAAGAGCTGCAGCTGCTCATGGCGCCGCTCGACGACTCGCCCTGAGGGCGGCGCCGTGGATCAGCTGACTCGCAAGATCCCGCACTTTGGGTGTCCTTCTTTTGTCACGACTCTCTCCTGAGGCCTCCGTCACAGAAGAAGAAATGTTTTAATGTTGAAGACGTTAAGTGACACTCAGAGGAAGTCGAGAAATTAAACCGCCGCTGCTAAACGAGCGGGTCGGGACTCGAATCAGGGAGGAGTCTCGGTCTCGTATGGAGGCGCTGACGGGAATGTGCCTTCAGAGGTTTGGATGTTTAAAAAGTGCTCACAGGTTTGCACCACACGAGCGATTCATGAAAGGCGGAGCAAAGATCAGCAGACAGAGACAAACCGCTCTGATGCGAACGTTTGAATCTGCCACGTTTAATCCCGTAAACCAGCGACGCAGATTTAAAAACGCCAAAAACAAACTCCAGCTCGGACTCTGTGCACACGTTTTCACTTTTCTACTGCTCACTCTCTCCACTGTGTTCATGTACAGCTCTGTTTATTTAAATAAAGACAAAATGAAGTTAGAAAAAAGTCGACTTTGCTTTTGCGTGAATATCACTTCAGAGGATCAGCCAGCAGGAAACGGCTCATTTAAACCACTCTTCACATTACTGTACTCTTCAGAGTGACTCGCAAGTGCACCAGAAGCTCTGTCTCAGATTTCCTGCAGACCTCAAATGCAACATGCATTTCTACATCAGTTTAGAGCCAAGCGTGTGAAAGTCATGTCGGGTGATCTGCTCACAGATTTAAGTCTGTAAAGAATTAGACATTTGCACAGGAAGCTTGTGGAAAGACATGATCGAGCATTATTTCTACAACATAAGATCACTTTGACTCTCATATTTGAAGAGCTTTTCTTGAGTGTACGGTCAGGTCATGAGTGTTTGGGCAGTTTTTGTTCTTTTGCTTCTGTAGACTACTACAATTTATTTAAAATAGTAAAATATGTGACTGAAATACAGACAACAGCTTGGCACAGGGTTGAAAACTGCACACAGCCGAGTGTGACGTGTGGGCGGAGTCACCAGATTTCCAGCATCATTGACTGGACAACCAAAAACGTTCTGTGAAAGCAACCCGAGACCCAGAATATTCAGCAGTCGAGTCGATCAGCTGACCCCAAATCAGCTGATCGACTCACTCGTCTCACTTCCTGAACACAAACTGAGGGTTGGTGATAGACCCAGTGCCAGCTAAAGCAAAGGAGGGAAGGTTAGCATGGTTGAGTTCAGTTTTCTCTGGCTCTCTTCCAATGAGAGGACTGCTGTGATTTGGCGCTTTATAAATAAAATTGAATTGAATTATTAAAACAAGTCTGTAGGTTCCCGATCATTCAGGGTTTTCCCGTCTCACATCTAAAAAACTTTTTCAAATCTAGACGCTGAACGATGGCGTCTCTATAGATAAAGCAGCTGACACTAGAGATTAAACGCCTGGGTCTCTCCGTGTCCACCTGAAATTATTTCCAAGCGCCAGCGATCAGCTACCAGATTCCTCAATCAAACCAGACTCGCACCTTAACCACATGTCTACAATGAGTCATATGAAAACTCTCAGGACCAGCTCCAAGGTAGGGGTCAAATACGTGGGACTCCCCGTTAGCGGTTAGGAGTGAAAGTCTTTTGGGTGAGAGCTGAAACATCCTGAAGCACCTCAAAGTTAATTAATCCAGTCGAGCCAAACTCTGTGACGGCCCTGGCAAATCTACACATCCTAAACAAATCTCTGCACCTGCAAGCCGCTTTGCAGCCCACCTCCTCCTATTCCGCCAGCCTGAGGAACTGAGCAGGTGTCAACAACAGGTGACATCGAGTCGGAGCCAATTACTGCAGGTAGAAATGATCATTCACCTTTTGTCTAAAGCCTTCCTGACTGATGCGATCCTTAAATGTGATTTAAGCTGTGTGGGAACATTGGAGGCAAAGACAGGAAATGAGGTTTAATCCACAAACTCAGTTTGTCCAGTTATTTGAGTCTGAAAGTGGTGCTAGGGGAAAAAAGTGGTTAATTCAGTCATTTTATTAACGCCCTTTAGATTAACTCAACTCACCTCTTGGTCATGTCGTTTTCAAATCTACAGTGATGGTGTGTCAAACACTCCTTTTTACTGCTCTTTTAAATATTTGTGTCCACACGATGCCGACGTGTGCGTTTGTTCTGGAGCGTTTATTAAAAAGTAATTACAAAACAAAAACAGCAAGCAGAGTTTGATCATCAGGTCAACACACAGCAGCTCATCGCGTTTCTAAGCATTCCCGTTTACTACAGCTACAGCTAACAGTCCACTTCGCACCAAGTCAACAGCTACACGTGTTCTGTCTCAGGTCAAAGGTCACCAGTGGCTTCCTGGAGGTTTTTGTTTTCTCCAAACAGGTGAAGAGACGACAGCAGAAGCACACAGAGAAGAAATGAGTTTAAATACGATTCAAGTCTTTTTGTTCTTCAAGCTGAAGGAAGTTTGAAATAAAAGGAACGTCCACCGGAGCAGAAGACTGAGACGCGACGTACAGATTTCCTCGTATTGCTCACGTCCTATTGGACAGCTTAGGATCAGTGGAGTACCCTGATTGGATAAAGGAGGAAAGCCTCCAGAAACTACAGATGGGAACACAACACACGTGAAAAAAAACCTTAAAATTTATCTCAACTTTATGAAGAAAAAAAAGTACACTTTAAGGTTTCAGCCTCAAAATCCTCCATCGAACACGGTGCAGAGAAAAAAAAGATTAAAAACAGATGGAGACAAAAAAAATTAAATTTGGATCACAAAAAAAACAAAAACGGAAAAATTCATGTGCCCGCATTCTCCAAAAGAAAAAAATTAAAGCATGTCAAACATAAATATACAAACACATTATGCATCTATGCACATCATCAGCCACGTTCGGGTTAGAAAATGATCTAAAAGTTTAAAGTGCAACAAAGAAACAATGAGAAATACTGATTGGAGAGCAGATACTGATTTCAGGGTTAATAAGGATTTTTTTGAGTCCCGACGGAGGAGCGCGAGTCCTGTCAGCTCATATCAGACGTCACAGCAGTCCAGACGTTTGGCCATCGTCTCATAACAGTCTGTCCAGATTTAAGACCGTCCTGTCCTGTAAAGTTTCCATCGGTCTTTGATCGCTTTTGCCGCTCCTGTCGTTGGCTAAGAAGGAAATAAATCCAGGAAGAGCAGCAGGGAGGCGGCAGAGGCCTCAGGGTGCTGGCTGACACCCCGCAGCCCGTCCTGCAGCGACGGCGTCCGTCAGGCCGTCAGCTTCAGTCGTCCTGCAGAGAAACGAGAGCGTCAGCCAGCAGTCATGTGACCCTTTAACTCACCATGTCCACACTACTGACAATAAATGTGAAAACATGTCGTTTCTCTTCATTTCGCTCCTTTCTAGAGCTGATCACAAAGTTCTTGCACTGTGAAGCGACTTCGTCAGCAGTTTACAAAGCATCCCGACAGCTCCTGCAGACTCTCCTCTAACGCCTCTGCACGGACCACAAATAAAACAGACGCCTGTGCTGCCCTTACTAACCTCTGCTCAGAAGAAAACAAACTGGCTTTAAATATTTCTCTTGTGTACCGCTGACATTTTTTTTAAACCACCTCCCAGTTTTTAACCAGGAATTTAGTCTGGAAACTTTTTAGATGAGAATTATTACTGGTGCTCAGAGCAGAGTCTCCATCTACACCACAGAAATCTTCAAGTCAAAGAATCATTCAGGTGTGTTTTTAAAGATAAGTTGTGCGTCCTGAGCAAAGATCACGTCTGCGTTTGAACACCGACAGACGTGATCTTTGCTCAGCACACTGGCTTCCTCCAACTTCTACATGAAACATACAATTAAAATTAAAGAGTTAAATCTGGCCAATTTCATGCTTTTTACAGTCATGGTTCAAGAACCTCATGATAACACTTCCTGTTCTAACCAAAAACACAGAAACATGGAGGATTTTACTCCACAGTCATCGGGTCGCTGCTAATACAGGAAACAGCAGCACCTTTGCTAACGTTACCTGAAGATCGACTCTGAGGCCAAGTCTTCATGTCACATTTGTTCAATTAGCTTCTGGTAATCAATACGACCTCTCACAGAGCATTTCTGTCAAACGTGGTCCCAGAAAAACCAGCAGGAGTCAGTCGAGATGATCTACCGAGGCTGAAACCTCAGACTGAGCCTGACTGCAGTGTGAACGAGCAACAACCAGAAGTGTTCCTATCAAACTGACACAAACAGTGTTTTCAGATTTATCAGTGCAGACATGGAAGGAAGGAAGCAATCCCACAATCCTCTGCTCATCAGCGAGGACGCTAAGCCAGGCCACAGAGCAGCGAGGGGGAGGGACGGGATTTATCCGGACACCAGCGCACTCAAACACCCACCAACAGTCGGACGTCACGAGACCGTAACAGAGAAAGGCGGCTCGTTTGGTTTTAGCTGCTGCAGATTCAGAAATATGAGTAAATAAAAAAAAGCTGCAGGTGTTTTTATCAGTTTCATCTGAGAGCAGCACAGAGAGGAGCAGGATTAGAGACGGGATCACACTGCTGGCCTCGCTCCATTAAGGACTAAATGCTTTATAAAAAAACAAAACGAACCTTCCAGCTGCTTCCGAAGCCTCTGAGTGCTTTTACGTCTCCATAATGGCTTTTTGTAACCAGACCTGACTGAAACTGGAGATCATCACGTGGGGTTTAGATCATCACGTGGGGTTTATCGTCCGTCCTTCTGGACACTAAAGACAACTTTATTTTAAAAATTAAACACCTGATAAGACCTGAAAGGAGCAACCGAGGCCATAAACTCACCAGGAAAGTATTTACCTGGGATATAAATCATATTTTCAAAGCACTTCTTTTTCAAACTGAGGAGTCGCCCCCTGCAGGTCATCAGAAAGGATGCAGGTTTAAGCTGCTTTTGCACTCTGTGCCTTCATCGTTTATCTTCTTTATTATTCCCAGATGTTAATGTAAGAATCATTTCTCATCTTTAATTTATCCAACTCGTCCTGCACCTCTCTGTCCTGGGATGAGATGAAACCTCAAACGTGTAAATTTCTGGTGACTTGAATTCCAAAAGAAGCCGATGAGTGATAATACAAGACTCCAGCAGCCGAACAGGCGACACACACACACACACACACACACACTCACACTCACACTCACACTCACACTCACACTCTGTGGTTAGAGGTGAGGAGCATTAGATGGATGGTTGGTGGAGGAGACAGGGGGAGGGGGCACCATGCCATGCTGAGAGCTTCCATGCCAAGCTGTCCACCAATCAGAATACACCCCCACCTACCTGCCCACCGTCCCCCACCAATGGGCTGGCTCTGTCTACCTGTCTGTCTGCAAACCAACCAATCAGACCACAGAATGAGGACACAGAAGAAGAAGGAGGAGGACAGACTGACAGCGGGCGTTCCTGGAAAATTCCTCCTCCACTCTTACAGCTCAGACCTGCGATGTTCAGGAGTTATCATCATTATTATTATTTACGCTGCCGCTGTTCCCCTGCTCAGGCACCAGCGCCCTACATTTCCCACAATGCACTGCAGAAAAATGGCATGAAGGTTGCTCAGTGTTACAACAAAACATTTTTTTTTTTTTTTTTTTTTTACTCTTGGCACTGTGTGACGTCATAAAGAAGATATCCTCATATGGTCATCTCAGACAGATGGTTTTTCAAACCATCAGTAAAAGAAAATAAAAAATAAAAAATAGAGCCAATCAGTAGAAAGTTGGCTCAAAAGGGGAGGGGCTAAACAGCCTTCTTCAGGCAGAAGGGGATGAGCTGCACCAAGGCTCAGCGTAAGACAAATAAGGATTATTTTAAACTCTGAATCATGCAAAGCCGCTCTGGGGCACTTCAGGAAGAAGCAGGGTTCAGTTCAGACGGGATGCAGCCGTCCTCACAGAGCCGAGCTGCTGCTAAAACTACAACACTGAGCTTACAGCTGAAATAATTTATTAGCAACAATCCCAATTAATCATGTGACCTCTGAGCGCAGTGTACCTGTGGAGAGCTGCGACTGGGACCTCCTGCGGGAGCTGCTGGGAGTTCTGGAGGCGGAGGAGAGGGTGGAGCCGGCGCTGCTGGCCCGAGAGATGGGGAGAGGGACCGGGGTCACCGGGGGGGAGTCCAGCTAGAGAGAGGTCAAAGGTAACTTTTGTTAATTGTCTCATAAAACCAATTATTTCTACCCTACATCACACAGTTAACCCCGCCCTTATTCAACAGCTGATCGTGAATAAACCAAAGAAGAAGAAATACGTCTTTACCTCAACGCTGTCGTGGGTGGGCGAGGATGACGTGGACGAGTTCTCGTGTTTCCTGGAGGACGAGGAGCTCAGCTCGACGCTGCGAACCCTCTGAGCGAACTTTAGCGAGCAGACCGACTCGCTCATGTTGCTGGGCAACGGAGAGACCTGATGATGATAAACAGGAAGTCGTCACCTTCATCAAAGCCCTGTGGGGTTGTTCAGGTTGCTGCTTTTATTGGCCAGCTCCTGGACTCACCTGCACCATCATCAGGGTCTTGCTGTCTCCACTCAGCGAGTCCTGCAGCAGGTACGTGAGGCGCGAGTTTCTGAACGGGACGTGGGAGTGTTTGCTCCGCAGCGCGTTGATGACATCGCCAAGCGCCGACAGGGATTTGTTGATGCACTGAGCTTCTCTGAGCCGACTGCCCTCCGCCCCCGACTTACCAATCCGCTCCGAGCCCGCCAGGTCCACGAGGTTCAGCTTCCCTAAACCGGAGCACAGCAGAGTGAGCACCACATGGAAAGTCATTGAATCTAACCAGGATGTTTCTTCAGAGGGCAAACTGATGAAATCTGGACCCCTTATTGAAAGTTTTTGGGAATACAGCTATGTTGTAAAGATAATCTTTGAAATAAGACATTTTTGGGACAGGAAGAGTAAAGTTTATGTGGAAATGATTTTTTTGTAAAAGACAAAATATTTGGTAAGTCAGGTTTTTCTTTTTAGAAAGAGGAGACCGCTGATCTGATCCACACTCTGGTACCTTTTAAGGGCTGTTTGATGGTTTGGTGTCCTGATAATACTGTGCATTAACACAAGTCCTCACACAGACACCTAAACAAACGTGTGTGTGTGTGTGTGTACCTAGCGTGCGGTTGCCAGTGGCTGTGTTGAATCCAGACACCGTGATGATGAGCAGAGCGTGTGACCGCGAGCTGTGCTCGTTCAGGTTGGTGCAGGCTGTCGCTCTGTTGACGTGACCCAACTCAAACACCTGCAGACAGGTAAACAGAGTAACCGTGAGCCGCTGGGAGTTAAACACATCATTCCTGCGCACGATGAATTTTAGATCCACATGTTTGCAAACAGTAAAAAAAAAAAAAATCCACAAAAGTTGATTATTGTTTTTTGTTTGTTTGGTTTTTTTACATTTAGTTTTGCTGCAAAACAAACAAGCCGTCATCCATCATCACAGGAAGACAAATGATCATCAGGCATGTTACACTAAAGGACAAGCAGGAAGTCCTCACCTTGTTGATGTCCTCGGGACTCTGCACGGTGATCTCGGTCAGTCCGGGGACGTAGAGTTGGCCGCTGCCGTCGGGATTCATCTTTATGTCGAGCTTGTCAGACGGATTCTCCCCGAGCAGGTCCCTGAAGGCAACAGAGGCGTTTGAGTGCCTGCAGGTTTCGACTCAGGGCTTGAGTGCAACAACGAAGGCTGATTAAAACAGAACTCAGGGGCCCTCAGGGGTCTGAAGAGATCCGTAATTTGCAGCATGAAACAAATCTTTAACCTTTCACCAGCTGCAGCTCGTGAAGCTTTTCTCCCATTTCTGCGTTTTTCTGTTTCGTGTTGTTCAGTCTGATAATCTGAGTTTAATCTGACCTTCAGAGCTCTGAATGTTTCTGCCAAGAAAACCTTTCGCCAGATGTTGAGCTCTGACTCTTTGCACAGATGTTTTGTTACACAACAGCTGGACAGATGGAGTGGCCCAGCTTTACATAACTGCACTGCAGCTGCTCCCATACGAGGAGGCGGGAGTAAAACCTGCGATAACAGACCTCCACACTTCAAACCCTGAAACACATCCTCATGTTTCCTCATCGCTGTAAACACAAACACTGTAGTTTACATGTAAATGAAGCCATCATCAGTCTACAGGGTCAGAGGCCCTCAGACGGGACAGCTCTCTCCTCACCGCAGCGTCTCGTTGTAGATTTCCACCATGCTGACGGTGATCTTATAGTCCCAGTCTGGAGCTTTTTCCGATACCTCGGAGAACAGCAGCCGCAGAGCACGCTGGTTAATGCCGGGGTTATCAGCGACACCCTGAAGGTCCACAGGCAGAGGAGGCGGAGTTTACAGGTGTATTCAGCGACATCTCGATTAAATTTTACTTACATTTGAATTTGTGTCTTGTTATTGGAGCAAAAACTGAGCTTTTCTGAGCGGATAAATGTCCTACCTCCATGGTGTAGGTTTTCCCGGAGCCGGTCTGCCCGTAGGCGAAGATGCAGACGTTATAGCCGTCAATACAGGAAGTGATCAGAGCCTGAACCTCCTGAAACACCTGATGAGCCAATCAGAGAGAACCAGCAGATGAGACGCACGCCTTTATTCACAATCACCACAAAAATCATGACCGATGGGGTATCTGCTCACAAGACGAGCCTCTGACCTGGAGGTCGTTTCGGGCTTCATTATTTTGAAGTTCAACAATCTAAACGTTCCGAGGACGCTCACCTCTTCCTGCGTGGCGTGAGGGGGGAAGACTTTATCCAACTCAAAGGTCATGACCTTGCCCTTGTTAGAGAGGTAGAGGATGGCGTCGTCGTCCGAGTCGAAGCTCAGCATGGTTTTGGCATCGGCGGAGTCCTGCTCCTCCTGACTGACCGGCCGGACGCGACAGAACACACGGATGTTACCTTGGAGACCAAACACAGCAGCACGGTGAATTTAGAACATTTTGTTCTGACCAAACAGACGACATCATTTCCTGAATCTGCACAGGTGCTCAAACATCTGCCAGGTGAGATTATCGGTCTCTACCAGAGCAGCTTTGCATGAATCATGGCTCAAAATAATCCTTTATCCTCCGCGGAGTTCATTCTCCATCTGAAACAAGCCGATTTAGAGCTCCGCCCTCTTTATGCCAACTTTATTCTGATTGGCTGCCCCTCTGTACCTGTGTTTGATGTTTGGAGTAGCCTGATGCTTAAGTTTTTGGTATGAGCTCGTCAGTAAGACATGACAGGAAACAAGGAAAAGCAGGTTCTCACCTCCTTCAAAATAAAATGCAGCTATATGCTCCATGTTGCAGACTAATATGTGCTTCTTTAAAGCTCTTTAATAGAAGATTTCTGTTTTACCAAAGTATTAAAATCTGTGATCAGGTGTGTGAGCGAGCAGGTGAGAGCGGGAGCTATGAAACGTTCGGACAGAAAACACAAAGCTTGTTTCAGACCTTTGAGTCGAACCAGCTCGTTGTGGCATTTCTTCCTCAGGTTCATCTCTCGCTTGTATTTACGCAGCAGCTCCTGGTTGGTGCTGCTCACCTCACTGATCACCTGGCAGATCTGACACACACACACACACACACACACACACACTTTATATTTATAAAATGACTGCAAAATCATTTGTATGAATTAACACTTATAGTTTTTTTTTCCCCCATTTAAAGGGCGTCTTGACTCGACCCATCTCTGAGCGTAACCATGACGGCGGGGCTCTGACTCACCTCCTGCTTGGCCTCCGTGATTGCTTTGTCCAGCATGAAGGGGAAGTCCTGTACCTGCCTCTTCAGACAGTTGTAGTCCGAGGTGAGAGTCCTGAGGGCCGGCTGCAGGCTCAGCAGGTTCATACGCACACCTGTAAACAACAACAACAAATGAAGCTAACGAGGAAGCATCAAGACCTGCAGTTCCTCCAACATCCAGCAGAGGCAGCAGTGAGTCGGTCCCTATAGACTCCCAAGTTAAAACTTTGCAGCAGAAATAAACGTGTTTACAGCCGGATACACAAACTGTTCGGTCTCTGCAGATGATTTTCTCCTTTATAATGCCTGGTAAGTCGCCTGCATTAAAATTTGCATTATTAGGGGTGTGGCCTCTGTAGCTTTCTGCTGACTTCACCTCAACTAACCAGAGTCCCTGAACTGGACCATGTTTGTGCTGTTGGAGCATTTTTAATGTCTTCAGGTGACCAATAATATGGCTGCAGTGAGGTTACTGTGCTAACAGACGCTCCAAGATGTCTGAGTGATTTTATTTGGATGTTACCAAGAACACAGGATACCTGCGTCTCTGTGATGGATACACACAACATGGGAATGGTCACAGAGTCCATATACACAGTCTGCGGTTCAGACCAACAGGAAACTGCGTCTGACCTGCGAGGTTCTCGTGGACGGCCTTCATCTCGCTCTCGGCTCGGATGAACGCCTCCTCGATGACACGGTTCTTCTCCTCCTCCAGGTTCTGCATCTCCGCCTCCAGCTGACCCTGAGCTCGCTCCATCTCTCCTTCATAGACCAGGATCTGGAGGGCGGATGCACACAGGTGGAGGCCAGTGTCAGAATACACACCCGAGCACATCATAGAGTTTCTGCCTTTGCGTTCATCTGTACGACGAGCCTCACGGAAAACTTTTAAATATCCCCGATTCAAGTTTGACTTGTTTCCATAACGTTAAACATTATGTGAAATGTTGATACTAATTAATGACATTTTAACCAATGAGAATTAAGCTGCAGATAATATCAACATAAATTACAAAAAGGCCAAATTACATTTACAGTTATTTCAAAATATAAATACATTAATTACAGATCTACAGTTTCACTAATAAGAAATGAATGTTTTTGCTAGTGAAAAATAAATGTAGGCATCTTTAATTAGGATGGGACTAAAATGACTTACTGATGCTACTTGGAAACTCAAATTTTAAATATAATTTCACATTTACAGCTAAAATTATTGGATTCACAAGAACTCAGAATTTAATTTTACATTTCAAACATGGAATTTCTTAGAGGATAACTTCCATTAGCAGACTGTTTTCATGTTTAATTAAAGTTATATTCAGAATAACATTACATCAGCTGTACCAGACACAGCTGATCACAAAGCTAACAAGACCACGGAAACATCTCAGACTTTAGTGACGCTTCAAATGCAGCGAGGAGAAAAAACCTTCAGGATCACCAGCAAACATCAGCTAACATCGGTTAGCTAAGCAGCAGTTAGTAAATATTTTTTACACACTGTCAAAGCGAACAGCTAACACAAAAGCTAGTGTCACAGGAGAACACAGGTGTATCACACAGGTAAATCTGATCACACAGGTGGAACAGGAACATACGGGAAGGCTTCTTCACACTGATGACTAACGGTTCATCCAGCAGCTGCTCGCCAGGTTGGCTGATACCTGGAGCTGGGCTAACGCTTTCTTTATGCTAAACTAGAACAACCAAAATAAAAGCTTTGTATTTTAATGTGAACACAGCCTGCAATAACCAGGGAGCACTGGGACAGTTACTGGGATGGTTTAAAAATCACACACTGGGTGATCACACAGGGTCTGAGGCTCTGAAGCGTCCCAGTTAAACCAGTTCAAACCACCGATTTTAGAAACTCTCATAAGCTGCCACACACACACACACACACACACACCCACACACACACACACACACACACACCCACACCCACACCCACACACACTTTGTCTTCATATTTAAATTTTTATCCAATTAAACCAGATCTTTATTTCTGCCATCACATCGTTGCACAGCCGTTTTGCCCTCATGTAATCATGTTTTAATAAAACTTGTGTATCGTGTCTTTGCATCGTAACAAACGATGGCGTCAGTGGCTGACGTGTCTGGTTTATCTGGCAGCTTCAGTGCCGGCGCTCTCGGTCAGGGGCGGTCGCTCGCTGTGACCTCTGTTCTCTGAACACTAATGATGTCACGGGGTAGGCGGGGAAAAGGACTGGGTGGCCAACCTTCGATAACCTGCGAACCACCTCGCTGTTGCGCCGGCCGACGGCCTTGGACAGGAGGCCGCACAGACGGCCTCGATCTGCAAGGAGCTGCAACCGGATGCATGCGGAGAGGAAAAGGTGAAGCGTAGGGGTTAACCTGGAAACTGGCTGATCTGAGGTCTGCTCATAGGAGAACCTCATCACCTGCCTCACCACACCACAGGTGAAGAAAACGTCTGGTTCACATCAAAATGATTTATTCTGACCCAACATCATCTATGCGTAGTTAGAAAAGCACTGAACAAAAACCGACTTCTGCTCGTAGCTCCTCTCCAGCTCGTCTCCTCCTTCACGTTCATAGAGCTGCCGGAGACATTAAAGAGGAAGACGAGGAAAAGGCAAAGCTGGCTTCTGCAGGTTGGGTCATGCAGCACTTCTGGAGCCTCTACGGTAACCGGACGAGCTGACGTGCGACTGCAGGTGAACTTACCTGCGTCCTAAGCTGAGCGCAGGTCCTCTGCGACTCGTGCAGCTGCGTCTCGAGCTCTCGCAGCAGCTGCCTCTGCGCGGAAAGCTGCTCCTGCAGGGCGTTGTTCTTCACCTGCAACTCGGCCACAGCTTTCTGAGAGTCCGCCGACTCCACCTCCACCGTCTGCGTCACATACTGAGGAACACCAAACAATTAGAGCCGATTAGATTTAGTTTCCACCCAAGACGATGCTGCATTCTCATGGTAGAGTTACTCAGCTACTTCAGATCTAATGGAACTCCTGAAAAACTGAAGGCATGAATCTAATCTCCTTCAACCTGACCAGCATCCTCACTTTGACTCTGGGGGGCATCGCTGCCTGTCTGGCGAGCTCCTCCTCGCACTCCTGCAGCCGGAGGGTGAGTTTCTGCTCAGCCTCCCCCTGCCTCCGCCTCGACTCCTCCAGCTGCCTGCGGCTGTCGTCCAGCTGCCGGGTGGAGTCATCCAGCTGCCGTTGGAGGGCCTCCGTCCTGGAGCTTTTCTCCAGCAGCTCTCTCTCCAGCTCAGCTAGCCGCCGCTCCCTCTGCCGGGCCTGGGTCTCCCAGCGGGACACCTCCCTCTGCAGGGCCTCCGCATCCTGCAGCACACAGCGAGGAGTTTAAACTCGTCAGCACACCTGGAGCAGGCTGCTGAGCGAGCCCGCGCACATGCACGTTACCTGGCTGTGGGGGCAGTGGCTGCAGGTCTCTGCGGCAGCATCGAGCTTCTGAAGCTTTGAGCTCCTGCATGACTTCAGCTCCTGCTTCAGACGCTCATTCTCCACCACCAGCAGCTCCAGCTGCTTCTCCAGGTCTGTCGCCCCCTAAAGGACACAAAGACACACAAACACCTTAATGTCTGTCAGAGTGTACCAACATTTAACACAGCTGCACATTAGGGTCCTCACAAAGGCCGGCCCAGCCTCCTGGCAAAATTTGAAATGATGTAAAAATGTGAAAAATAAAGTCGTGTGTTTGTGGCCACTGTTTTTGGGCAAAATGAAACTGGTTCTGTGTAGTAGGACGTTTGTTTGATGTTTGCATGTCTGCAGCACTGCAGAGTCCTCAGGAGGGACGCATTAACCTGGCAATCAATAAAAGTGATTTGAAACAAGTGAAAACATTTTTCCTGTACGTGAAACCCGACCTTCTTCTAAAGCTGACTTATTGAGTTGTTTTATTAGGAAAGTGTTTCTCTCATTAAGCTCCACTTCCATTTACTGAGACGTATGAAGTAAACATTCTCCTGAATGTTGGAGAGTTTTAAAATAAATAAATAAATAAACCAGGAGGGGAAATTTCCCATTAATCGATAACATCATGACCACATGACCGAGTGCTGTCTCACTTTTCCTGGCTGGACAATGAGGACATTTGTTCTGCAAAGCAGGAACATTTTTTCCAAAGTCAGGATGTTGTTGCATAAAGTCAAACACTTTTGTTGCAAAACTGGGACATTTTACTGAAAATGAGTCGTTTTTGTCAAACAGGAGCAACAGGGAAACTGCATCCAGCCCTCGTTTTGGAACAACCTTCAGACGAGCTTCAGGTTTTGAGTCAGGTTAAAGTTTAAGATGTGGGTCCTACGACTATAGCATGCAAGTGTCCCCACACAGAACAAAGACGCATGCGTTTTTGAGGAACATGGTCCAACATGGTCCAGCAGGGTCTCACCAGTTCAGAGCGAAGTCTCTCCACCTCCTGGGTCTGATCCAACAGCTTCTCCTCCAGCTCCTCCACCTGCAGATGCCAAAGAACATCATTAAAAGGTAAAAAACAAACTTTTAACCCTGTTCTTATATCTTGCACGTCTCAGTTAAACATGTCCATTTCAAGATGCGCCGGCTCAGCTGCAGATCGCATTCGGATCAGCTTTCTGCTGAATGTCACCACACTGATTCGATAGTTGGGATCTTTGCGTTTGCACCGTGACGTGTCGCTGAGCTGCAGATCGGACCGGCAGCTTCGTTTTGTTGATGTAACAAATCTGTCAACGTTTCTGACTCGCTTTACGTTTGACGCCAACGTGCAGATGTCAGCCCGACAGCAAAGAAAACACAAGAAATATTCAGTTAAACACCTTCGAGTGTTCAGAGTCTGAACACACAGAAACACACAGCTTTGGATTTACTGTCCTGAGAATAATCTCAACGCTGATCAGAATAAACTATTAGAACTTAAAGATCCTTCGCCTGAACATTCATGTTCATGTGTTCAGTATTGCAGCAGATTCACTAACAGCTGTCTGTAACACCACCAAATCCTGCAAACGGGAGCTTCTAAACAAATATCAGAGCTGCAGGCCGTCCTGTTACTCACGACTACAAGCTAGCTGATATCGTATGTTTGTGTCCCCCTAAAGCATTGTGGGAAGTGTCAGGCCTGCCTTGTTTGATCGGCGGGTTTCCTGCAGACGTACCTGTGTGCGCAGCCGAGTAACGAGCTGCTCTTCCTCTGGACAGCTGAGACGATCCGCAGGGTCACTGGGCTGCACCACCCTCACACCTACAAACACACAGACGCGTTTACGTCACTGCAGAGGACTGCAGGGCCTGCCATCTTGGAATAAAATGAAAGATCAGTCGCATCGAGTGGAATCGTCTGTCTACAAACACTGACCGTTGGGCGTCTCTGACGTCTGCTCCTCCTGTAGCGTCTTAACGCCTCCACCCGTCTTCTCTTTGACACTTTGCTGCAGCTGCTGGACCAGCAGGTGGCGGGCTACTTCTTCAGAGTGAAGTCGAGCCTGAAACTCGCAAACTTTGTCCTGTAGGGTCTGAAAACACACGACAAGCACAAATCAATCAGCGGCAACAGTTATCCAGGCTGTGCAACTGATTCTAGAAGCTCACAACAACGTCTACACGGTCACTACGACCTCTGCCTGTCAGAGACAAAAAGGGAAACGCTACAGAAAAATACAAAAGAAGAAGAATCTACAGCGAGCAACAAGGACAGTGAAGGTTTTTACGTTGGCAGGAGTCCACCAGCATGACCAGGTGACCCTCTGCAGATGAAGACGGCATGAAAAACAAAAACGGAGGGAATGATGGACGGACAACAAACGAGGGAAACCAGAAATCTGACAGGTGCAAGACAAAGAATAAAAGTGAACATCTTTTATAGTCTGGGCCTCCAGCCCTCATTCGTCAGTCTGTTGCAAACATTTGCGTGTCGCCAACGTCACCTGACGGAGCAACAACACTCAGAGAGCGTCAGCAGTCGTGTCACAGATGTGACGAGCAGGACGACAGGAAGCGTCCCCGAGGCGTAAACAGACAGAGGCTCGGTCAGCTGAACATTGTCACTCTCTGCTGATGTCAGCTGCGAGTCAGCGCCGTCGCTGCAGACATGCCGCCGTGCAGCATGAAGTGAGCGCGCTCAGTCGAGCCTCAGTTCATGCTTTTACGGTCGTTTTAAGTCTCCTGATTAGTCGATTGTCTGTGCTGGTCGTTTACCTGGATAATCAGCTGCTGGCTGGTCGCGCTCGTTTCACTGAGCTCGGCGGTCAGAGAGGGGCGCTGCGAGAAGGCGGTGCTTGGCAGAGAAAGGAAGGAGCCGTCGTCTTCACCATCACTCATCAGGAAGTCCACTGAGCTCGCTGCGGAGACACGGGAGACAGCTTAGTTATACGACGTCACGTGTTACTCAGCATCATTTCCATTTAGTAATATTTTAAAAGTTAAAATTAAAAGTGCATCTTCCAAAAGAAGAAGACACGGATCCTCCGACTGAACGAGGAAAAATCTAACAATGGCTCGATTGTTAAAGTTCACGTGTTAAAACCTCATTGTGAAATTAAACTATGGGCCCACCTTGATAAGCTCAGAAGAAAAGCACCTTCTGAGTGGGTGTAAGGTAATCTATAAGCAGATTGTAAGTGATCAGTGATTATTGAGGTCACAGCGAGAAACAAGCTGAGCTCCTCTCTCTCAGCTCCCGTTCTCCTCCTGAGTAAACCTGCAGCTCCATGGAAACCAGTCCAACCAGATAACTACTGATAACAGCCACTGACACATTAACCTGCTCACAGAGGTGTGTGTGTGTGTGTGTGTGTGTGTACACGTTGCCACAAGTTTCTTTAAGTGTGTGAGGCCTCAAATCTTATCAACCTGAGAATAATCCGCTCTCTGTGCGCACGCACACACACACACACACACACACACACACGCACGCACACGCTTTCATATCTTAGTGAGGACATCTAATGGGGAGAACGCTTTCCTAACCCTAACCCTCAAAAACAAATGCCTAACACTAACGCTAACCCTCAGCCGTAACCTAACCATAACCTAGTGTAACCCTGAAAGTAAAACCACATTTTGAGCCTCAAAAATGCCTTAAAACTTGTGAGGACAGGACTGTTGGTCCCCACAAATATGTTTAAGCAGGTACACAAACATACACACAAACCCGTTTTTCCATCTTTGTGAGAACCCTTAGTCACACCTTGACTTGGCCGCTCCTCAGGGATGAGAATTTCACACATCTAGACGGTTGAGTTAAACGACTAAGTTATGTGCCGCTTATTTAATGAAAGACACGGAAGAGATCCGCTTATTCTGCAACACCTTGTACAATACGCCCGTGGTGTGTTAACCAAACGTCGTTTGCGAGGAAGTAAAACCGAATACCGCTAAAAGACAAAAACGACTGTCAGGGGAAACTATTGTTGTAAGCTACAGGAGCTCACTGCAAAGCAAAGCTATGTTCAAACCGCCTCCATCTGACAATATAATGGCACTCCTCACTCACATGACTCCAGCTGGCAGACATGAAAACAAGTGTGCTGTGAAACTGTGTATTACTTTATTGCAATATTGGGCACTGACGGTCAGTGTGACGCCCAATATTACAATAGAAAACAACAAACTAAAGTCTCGAGCTATTCGTCTCTTTTCCCTGATTTTGTTTGAATTGTTTTTCTTATTTGTGCTTTTGCTCCAGGTGAACAAAGGGCCCATAAAACCGTTTAAATCTTATCTTCTGTAAGTCAGCTGTTCGCCGACCTTCAGACATTGTTTTTGTGTTTTCTTGTCCAAGTTTAACATTCAGAGCTGCATCGTGGACTCAAACTGAGCAGAAAACCTGCTTTAAACCAAATAATGACGGATTAGAAAACAGGATTACACAGAAGTACTGCGCGTTTGCTTTTCCTGCATCACAGTAAATGTTTACACATGGAAGAAAAAAAAAAAAAATGCTGAAACCTCAGCTCACAGGTCCGACACGCTGCTGACGTGTTAGAAATTACAGATCTGACAGTCCGCATTCCTCCGGCCTCCAGTTACACTTTCATATTTCATCACTTGGTTGCGATTTTGAGTATGACCCAGTTTGACAGGGAAATACTGCAGCGTCACTGCCTTCACCTCAATATCCCTCAGCCTCTATAAAGCGTTTCAGCAAAGAAGATCCCACTGACCAGTTTTGTTCTGGCTAAATAATCAAAAGAGTTTTAATGGAGACCTTGAAGAGGACATTGCACAGTAACCAAATCCACGTCAGTATCCACCCTGAATTTCACAGACGGCGGCTCGTCACCACTTTGTTTAAAGCCTTTGTTGTTTGGCAACAGACAACCTGCATTTCCACCACAGGAGGAACCCACAGTCCAAATGAAACTCCGGGGAGAGAGTTTCATCACCAGGAGATTCCTTTCCTTGGGACTTTCACAGGGAGAAAAAAACTGCAGATTTATCTTTCAATAGATGACAAAAGGTGAAGTTACTGACTCGTTAAAGTAAAAATGCCCCCCTCCCCAAAAAAGTATGATGTGCTTTACATGATGCCTCCCCTGTCTTCATAGCCAGCCTTAAAAACTAACAACAGAAATCCATCCATCCATTTTTACGCTTTCAGGGGTGGAGATGCCCAGACCTGCCTCCCCTCAGCCACCTCCTCCTCCTCCAGCTTTCCAGCAGGGACACTGAAGCGTTCCCAGACCAGCCAAGATATAGATCTGCCCTGAGGTCTCCTGCCAGTTAAACACCTCATCTAGGAGGCACTCGTGAAGCATCCCATTCAGAACAACCAACTGAACTGTGGGAGTAACATCTCTAAGGGAGAACCCAGACACCAAAGTAATTTATGAAGATTCTCAAAGTTTTAAAAGTGAAAGCACTGCACAAACCATGAAACAGAAAACTCTAATTTAAAAGAAGTGGCTTCTAAAGTCTCAATGAGCTCAGATGTGCACGTCTTAAATATGTGACGTATGCTGTGTGCAGAATATTTCTTCATTTGAGATTCCCCGAACAAAAGACTGAAAATCGCCCCGATATCAGAGCAAATGATCAACTCATTACACTCAAGTCAGCAAATCACAAAGAGGAGACGACAGACGAATGAAGCGCCTGGATGTGTCGACTCAGCAGGGACACAAATCAAAATGGTGCATAACAATTCAGAAGAGTGCAGGAAACACACACACACACACACACACACACACACACACACAC